TGTAATCAATGCATCCAACCACACTGGAAATCCTTAAGAAAATTCTAATTATTAGGTTACTTAAAGGTTGCAACCAGATGTTATCAAGTGAACGCCATTTAAAAAATGGTACCGTTCAAATAAATATGCATGTGGACATGGCAAAATAAATAAATTAAATTAAACTAAATTAAATCCTCTCCTGAAGTAAATGTAACTCCCGCGAATTAATGCAGCCTCCTCATCTACAGGATCCCTTATATAAAGACATGCCATTTGTCACATTTACAGTGTCTGCATGATGAAAATGAAAGTGGTCCGGTGAGAAAAATAATCTTGTTTCCATTTTCATTTCATTTCGCTGGCAATTAATTTTACTCGTTTACCCCAGGAAACAAGACTAAATATCATATATATTCTTTATTATATAGAATGCATCATGATTTAGGAATTTTTTGATATTTGTATTTGAAATAAGGCAAAATCAGTGTCTTGAAATAAGGCAAAAGTCTCAGCAATAAAAGCAATTTTTGCAGCGTGAATGAATGAATGAGGTATTTAAACATTGCTTACGCTTTAAAACGGTGGAGGAGACCGAAAGAAAATCTGGGTTTACCGAAGAAAAGGTTAGGTTCACAGAGTAAGTTACTATGGTAACTTACCGAGAGGTTTAGTTTTGTCTTTTATTGGAACCGAAAACACTGAGTTTCCCTTTTCTGGGGTTAACAAACTCAGAGTTTCCAACAAAACCCGCTTTCTGGAATGCAACCCTGATATGTATTTTGATTTAGAAATGATAGAAAATGCCGTTCCATGTGTGAGATGATAATATAAAATGTAATAAATAAATATGTATAATATAATAAACATTACCTTGTCATAGTGTTTTATAATTTATACAGATTTACCCTGCAAACACACAGAGATTTAAATGTGAACTGGTGGATCGATAAGAAGTCTAAACAGTATAGGGGTGTGCGATATGTATGGTCTGCGATAATATCGTAATTGTTGTTTAACGATGTGTGATTTGATATTATAGAGTATATCGCGAAAAGCAAACAAAACACCTACAGAGTGCACGCATACATTAGATGATGAAGTCTAGCAGGTGCGTTCTTTCACTGCATGAATCAGTCTATTAAAATGCATTAAGAATTATCACATAATTCAAGATATGGGGCAGAAAATTTATATATTTATATTATTTCATATAGTTAATATCACACAAAGTGTGCCGTTTTTTCTCCAAAAGTCAGCATGATTACAAATGTAATATTAATTTTTCTACAACAGTTCAGTAAACAAGAAGTTAATATTAAGAGACACCATTAATTTTAGACACCATATTTTTGCTCTATTTCTCCAACAAAAATCATTCCAAACACAGTCACAGCACTGTTTTGCGTCTCTGGGCAACAGGACGCTGTTTTGTTCATGAATGAATCACCCGTTTTAGATTTACTTTACTGAAAATAAACCGTTCTTTTATTTCAGAGATGATTGAAAAAAACAAGGAGAGTGAAGAACTGAGTGAAGTTGAG